ATCACAATTCTTGCAAGGTGAAAAGGAAGAAGAAATGAAGCGGGTGACTGGAGAAGCAGGCTGGCTGCTGTGCTCACATACAGCAGCACGGCAGGTCACCAAGCCAGCAGTCATTACACTGGGAAGGTCTGGTTGGAAAACACACGGTGCCGGCCCTGCCAGGATAGTCCTGAACATAAACGACGACTCCGTGGCAGATTCAGGTCTGTGCGACTACAAACACGCTCRCGGAGGCACGTGTGACCCATTTCTAGCAGATGAGGCCGTTACGAGAGAACAGGATCTAAATCTGTATCGGGACCATTCCTGAATGTTTCGTCTCCCCCGCGACAGAGCAGCTGTGGGAGCAGAAGCACAAGCAAAGCCAAGAGGCAACATACTGCTGAAACGCTCCGTAAAACTGTCCCAACAAAGTCACGCAGCAAGATTTTTTTTAAAAACTTGAAAATTTAGTGGTAAGCACTAATTTGGTACCACATCGACTTAGCCTTAGTCCACAAGTTGCTTGGAAATCGGAAGAGGAACGCATGCCTGTAGCCTTGCAGGGCCTTACACCRTCGTAATGATCATTTGAGACTGTTTTTTTTTCCCTCTCTAGATCAAAACAGTACTTATGGAGTAGGAAAGAAAGCAAGACGGAAAAGGAGCAGGCAGGGCCTTCCCTCTCCCTCACTACAACCATTTTTTTCTCTCTGGGTGGATTTCTCGCAGTCTATTATTGTTTAGCAGCCCCCTGCTTATGCGCTTAAAATGTCCACTATTTGGGCTATTCATGGTAAGGGGATGTAAAAGACATAAAATGCCGCACCCCGCCGCCGCACACGACAAGCACTCGCCTCCAGAAGCGGGGACTAAGCCCCAAACTCGCGCCCAGGGGTGGCCGACCCGGCCCGGGCACCGGCAGCGGGAACCGGTACCGGCAGCACCGGGGCCGCCGCGCTCCTCACCTGCATCCTGCCTGCGGCCCGGGAGCGGGCCCGGGCCCGGGATCGGGACCAGAACCGAGGCCAGGGCCGGGCCGGGGGCGGTCACGGCGGCCGCTTCCGCTGCTGCCGAATAAGGCCGGCCCCGAGGCGAGGGGAATTAAGGGCAGTCACGGAAGAGCTCAGAGGAGGAGGGTTTTCCACAGGAACTGCAAGACGAAAAAAAAAAAAAAAAAAAAAAAAAAAAAAAAGATTTCCTGTATTCTTTTTCCTTCCCCTTTCTCATGCTATCAGTGCTTTCCATAGCCATTTCGATATTAAAAAAGAAATCTGGCTCCCCCTGCCAGCCCCACAGTAGCCGCACGGTTTCCCGAAGGGAGGCCCGTTGCATTTCCTGGATATTAGGCCCAAGTAGCTGTTCTGGGACAGCCAAGATCCTGCCGATCCRGCAGCCTCGCTGCTCCCAATCCCTCTTTAGCGGTGGGAAAGCTGTGCTGGAGGCAACTCGGCTGCGGGAAACACCGGCCTCTGGCACCAGGACGTGGTGGGTGCCAGGCCTCCTGCTCACCCTCYTCTGGGCTGGCAGGGCTTCGCACGCAGCTCCCTCCTTTGGGGAGGAAAAAGCCTCCTTGTTATCCTGTTTGCATCCAGCCACTGCCATAGGGCTCGAATCTCTGCCACAACCCGAAGCTGTAGCTTGGCAAGCCCAGGAATATGCCTATTCCTAGGCTCCTTCCAAGCCTAGGAATAGGCGTATGATCAAACACCTCTTGCTACATCTTGGTGAATATTGTAAAGCTCATGAATCAAGGTGCCTGCTGTTTCAACACATACTTGAAAGTCTATCAACATTTACTTTTGAATAGCTCATTTTTTTAAATTAAAATATGGACAAAAATGTATTAGAAGGAATGCCACTTTTCAGTCAAGCTCAATACATAATATTACATAAAATGTACATAAAATACATAAAATTCTTTCCAAATAACCTCTACTCAAACATTACCTTGCCCCTTTGCTGTTTGTTCCCACAGCGGTGACAAGGGATACAAAATTGCAGCCCCTTAAAGCCTCTGAACATATCCCTGCAAGGGACTTACAGCACAGGCAGCAAAACTAGCAGGGTGATACCAGGTTTAAAAGTATGTAACACATCCTTGGGAATCTTATGTTGCAAGTTTGAAGGAGATAGGATTCCAAATTTTAACATTATATACACTGTATACTCCAGATAAATTTTTT